GATGCCAGAAACCTTTCCCGGCCCCCCCAGGGATCCTCCAGCCCTTTCCCAGCTCCCTCAGGGATTCTCCAGCCCCTTCCCAGCTCCCTCAGGGATTCTCCAGCCCCTTCCCGGCTCCGTTCCCTTCCCTGGACACGCTCCAGGACCTCAGGATCTCTCATGGGCACAGCCCTGGAGGTTCTGTAGCACAGCAGGATTTGACACAGGTCCACACTAAAGCTCTGAGGTTTTGAACGTGTCCAGATAAACATGAAACACTCTGAGCTCACCTCAGCTCTCCAGGTGTGGGAATTGCCTCCCAGCTGGAGCAGGGGTGGCTCAGGGGGCTCCACCTGCCCGTGGTCCCCAAGGAGGGAGCAGGAGCTGGTCCTGGCTGCAGGGAAGTGGGAGGCACTGACCTGTCTGGGAAAGGGGTCTGGGGGAGTGGGAATGGGAAGGGTGGGATCTGTCCTGTGGGAAATAGGTGGCAGTGCCTGCGTGCAGTGCCAGCAGGGGACACTGGAGCTCCAGGGACACTTCTGCAGCTCCTTGATGCTGGAATGCTGCTGCCCTCACCCCCTGCCCCCTTTTGTTTCTGTACACTTTGTCCTTCATGCATTTGTCCTTTCATCCATTTGTCCTTTCATCCATTCTTTCCATGCATTTCTCCTTCCATACATTTGCATTTCCATGCATTTATCCTTCCATACGTTTGCCCCAAAAGTCACCAAACCTGAGTTTTCTTCCCCATTTCCATCGCTCCCTTTCCATATTTGATGTCTCCCAGTGGCTGCAGCTGGACCAGGGGAGCCCCAGCTGGGAACTGCCCAATTTTCCAGGCTCATTCCCAGCACTTCCCCACCCTCTGAAACCTCCTTTCTGCCAGAAAAAAAAGAACAAAAAAAACCAAACCACCCGACAGCCTTACAATAAGGTGACGTTTTTATTATTTATACAATAAAGAGACTTTTTAATGTTATTCAAAACACTTTTTTTTTTGGAAATACTGAAAAAGGTGGGTACAGCAAAGCCGAAAATGGCTCTGCTGCACTGCACAGCATGGGTTCAGTCCCTGGGCTCCCTCTGCACAGAAGCATCTGCAAAATGCAGCAACCCCACACGCACGGGGAGGGGACAACCTGCATGTGCCAAGGGACAGGAGCTGATTGCACTCAATCAATAGATTTAAAATAGAATTTTTGAAGTACCTTTTTGCACATAAAATGAAGCAGCTTTCAAGTTCAGTAAGTCTTTATACTGCAAAAAACATGAAGTACATTCACAATCTATGTTAATAAAGTAGTAAATATTTCCTCATTCAGCTTTATTTACATGGATACTGGAATTCAACTGAAAAGTACAGTCATCTGGAATATAGCAATCTTTGAACACATACAAAAATGACCATTTCTGTATATAATTTAAGCTCAAAATCACAATTATCTCAAAATATTAATTACAATACAGCCATCTCCATCATAATTAAACATGTCTTTTATAAAATGGTAAAATCTTTACTAAAGGAAGCTGTTGGTTCTGAACTGGATACAGTACTCACAGGTAGAAAACCGAAGTGATGAGCGAGTGCCCTGCCCGGGGAGGGGGAGTGAGGGAGGGGACACAGCCACCACCAGCAGGTGACACCTCCTGTGCCACGGGATCCTGACCCGCTGTCACCCACTAATTCCACTGAATCACCTGGAGTCAGCCAGGGAGAGGCTTGGCAAAAAAAGCTTTTTTTTTGGGGGGTTTGTTATTTTTTGAGTTTTGGTTTGCGATGCCACGGTTTGCAAATGGTGCCTTTTGGGGTTGGGTGGTGGTGCCCGGCAGGTCCCGCTGGGGATCCCCCCGGGGATCCAGGGCCAGGGCAGCTCCCGGGGATCCGGGGATCCCAATCCTGTCCAAAAGTCCCGTGGGCACGAGCTGGGCCTGCCCTGCCTGCCGGGATCAGCCCCGGCTCTGTGCGCTTCCAAAGGGATGGGGAGGGAGCGGCACGGGCAGGGAGCTGCAGCTGCACACAACATCCCCAATTTCCTTTGGGAATTCTAGCTGTGACATCCCACCAGTTCACAGAATCACAGGAGGGACCTCTGGACATCAGCCAGTCCAGCCTGGAGCAGGGGACACGGGAATGTGTCCAGAGGGGTTGGGATGTCCCCAGAGAGGGAAACCCACACCCGCTCCTGGCAGCTGTTCCGGGCTCTCCACCTCCAGGGAAAGAAGTTCTTCCTCATGCTGGGGTGGGACTTGCTGTGTTCATTTATGTCTGAACTCTGCCAGGGTGGGTGGTGAGGCCATAGCTCCGTCACCCCCTGTGCCATTCCGGGACCTGTCCCCAGCCCTGCTGCTGTGGGACAGGCTCTGCCTGGCCAGGGGGACACGGAGCCCCCGTGTCCCATCCCTCATCCATGAGCAGTTCCTGGGAATAAACACCCTGATCCCCCCTGGGAGCCATGGCCTCCCCTGAGCCCTGCCCTCAGCTGATCCCATTTCAGGGTGGGGTTCATTTCCCTGGATTTGCATTCCCCAGCAGAGCTCTGCACACAATCTGTACAGAAACATTTCTGATTGCATCGGGTGGTTCAATTACAGCAGAGAGGGCTCCCAGCACCACTGGCCTGGGTGGGAAGGGACTCAGAGCCCACCCAGAGCCACCCCTGCCATGGGCAGGGACAGCTCCCACTGTCCCAGGCTGCTCCAAACCCATCCAGCCTGGCCTTGGGCACTGCCAGGGATCCAGGGGCAGCCCCAGCTGCTCTGGGAATTCCATCCCAGGGCCTGCCCACCCTGCCAGGGAACAATTCCTGCCCAAGATCCCATCCAGCCCTGCCCTCTGGCACTGGGAGCCATTCCCTGTGTCCTGTCCCTCCATCCCTTGTCCCCAGTCCCTCTCCAGCTCTCCTGGAGCCCCTTCAGGCCCTGCAAGGGGTTTTAACCAAGCAACACCTCTACACTCCAAGCGCTCACTACCAACAGCAAACCAACCTCCCGGACATTTCCTACTCAGATTTTTCCTGGATTTCCTTGGCTCTGCTCTCAGCTGCCCCATTCACCCTCAGCCTTGTCCTGTCTGCTCCCTGTGTGAGCCCCCTGTCCCCTCCAGGGCTGGCACTGCCACTAAACACAGATGCAGACGTGGATGTGTTAAAAAATACCTTGGAAAACATGAAACCGGATTCGAGGATGTTAAATGGTCGCTGTTGGGAACAATTGGCTGAGAACTTTCCTGGTTTGCCATCACCTGGGCAGGAACTGTGAGCTGGGAATATGGGAAATTATCAGGGGTGGAGGGTCCCGGAGGTTTCCCTGGGTCTGCAGCTCCCCAGGTCCCACAGCCAGGGAGAGAAGGTTTGGGAATTCTTAGAGAAGTGGAACATCCCTGGCTGTGCCCGTGGGCTGTGGGATTTTGGGTGGGAATGGTGCAGGTGATCCCGGAGCCAGCTGTCCCTCAGCCCCTGGCCATTGCTCCGGGGCACTGGGATCCCCTGGGAACACCTGCAGGGGCTTTCCCTGTCTTTTCCCATTTTGCTGTCAGGGATAACCAGGCTGGACCCTGGCACCTCTGAAGCAGCAGCAGCTGGGCACGGTCTGGGCTTTGGGATTCTCGGTTGGGAACAGCCCCAGGACTCGGACAGGAGGGGTTGTGCCACTGCCCCTGTGCTGGGAATGCTCCTCCCAGGCTGGCTGGGGGTCACCTGCTGCTCCCTGGGGTGTGTCAGCTCCGACACCTGCACCCATCCCTTCCCAGGACTCCAGTCAGGGATCCCAGAAAGCCTCACCCATGGGAATATCCCGAGCAGGGCCTGGAGCAGGGGGGAAAATACACAACAATGTCAATGGGGAATCTGAAATGAAAAATTAAAGAGTAAAATTAGCAGCAACTAAAGGAGTTTTACTGCCACCATCACAACCTTCCTCCATCCGTGAGCCAAACCTGCCTGTCCTCGGTGTTCTCCTGTAGTGTGTGCACATGGAATCGAGGGAAGAGCCAAAGCAAAGGAAGTTAACCCATTCCAGAGGGAATTAACCCATTCCAGAGGGAGCTAACCCATTCCAGAGGGAGCTAACCCATTCCAGAGGGAGCTAACCCATTCCAGAGGGAATTAACCCATTCCAGAGGGAATTAACCCATTCCAGAGGGAGTTAACCCATTCCAGAGGGAGTTAACCCATTCCAGAGGGAGTTAACCCATTCCAGAGGGAGCTAACCCATTCCAGAGAGAGTTCACCCATTCCAGAGGGAGCTATCCCATTCCAGAAGGAGCTAACCCATTCCAGAGGGAGCTAACCCATTCCAGAGGGAGTTATCCCATTCCAGAAGGAGCTAACCCATTCCAGAAGAAGCTAACCCATTCCAGAGGAAGCTGGAATCATAGAACCATGGAATGGGTTGGGCTGGGAGGGACCTTGAAGCTCACCTTGCTTAGCCCTGCCGTGGGCAGGGACAGCTTCCACGAGCCCAGGCTGCTCCAAGCCCCGTCCAACCTGACCCATTCCCAAGGGAGCTCACCTATTCCAGAGGGAGTTATCCCATTCCAGAGGGAGCTAACCCATTCCAGAGGGAATTAACCCATTCCAGAGGGAGTTCACCCATTCCAGAGGGAGCTAACCCATTCCAGAGGGAGTTCACCCATTCCAGAGGGAGTTATCCCATTCCAGAGGGAGTTCACCCATTCCAGAGGGAGTTATCCCATTCCAGAGGGAGTTCACCCATTCCAGAGGGAGTTAACCCATTCCAGAGGGAGCTAACCCATTCCAGAGGGAGTTATCCCATTCCAGAGGGAGCTAACCCATTCCAGAGGGAGCTAACCCATTCCAGAGGGAGCTAACCCATTCCAGAGGGAGCTATCCCATTCCAGAGGGAGTTCACCCATTCCAGAGGGAGTTATCCCATTCCAGAGGGAGTTCACCCATTCCAGAGGGAGCTAACCCATTCCAGAGGGAGCTAACCCATTCCAGAGGGAGTTATCCCATTCCAGAGGGAGTTAACCCATTCCAGAGGGAGTTATCCCATTCCAGAGGGAGTTATCCCATTCCAGAGGGAGTTATCCCATTCCAGAGGGAGTTATCCCATTCCCACGTGGGTTCCTTGTCCCGAGGTCCCAGAGTTACAATTGGAGAAGTCTCTCACCCTGTATAGTGAATTGTTCCTGATCCCTACGGAGCCAGCTATACACACGGCATATGTACAGGTATTTTCATAAGGCATAGAATATCTTTGCATTGAAAATAAATGAACATTATTAAATTTAATTTAATATATACTTTCTTTGAGGTGTTTATGAAAATATTTTCTTCTCTATACTTTCGTATGCGACATGATAGAAATATTTCATGGGAAGTACAGGTTAATATATTTCATTTTATAAAGGCATATACAACTTTGAGGCAGTGTTTCTGATGGACAGCAGAATTCCTAAAGGATTTGTATGTGCTTCTGTGTTTTGAAATCATATGAAATTGACTTTTAAGAAGGAACTTGGTTAAAAAAACGCACCAATGCACAGCCAGAGGCTGACAAGTAAAACTAATACGGAGCCACATGAACAATATATTTATAGAGTTAATTCTTATATTTTCTCCCGATGATTGGTACTAACATAGAGTATTATACATTTGGCACTACTGTTTGCCATTGGTCCAGCAATTGGCAAAAAATTGGTTTCCTATGTATAAATCTGTTTGAGCATTAGATCTGGCTAGACATATTTACTATTTATAAAAAAATATTTAGACAGTAAGCTCACGTTGGATAACTAAGTCTACTGTGTTCTGGAAACTCTTCAGTAGGAGCACAGCCTTCTCGTGTTCCAGGTGTACAAAGCTGTGTCCATTGGCCTGCAGCAGGGAAAACACAAGGGAAGAGGCTTTAGTGGATTGTTTTTTGGGGAAAAAAAGGGATATTTGGCAATTAAAAGCAAGGTTAAAATAAATAATGAACATACGAGGATTTCTCATGAGCACACATTTCTCTTGTCCTCTGTGGGATGGCTTGGGTGCTCCAAGGAATGATTTTATTCCCACTGAAATCATGCTGTGGCTCTGGGGTCTGAGCAGGACCCGCTTAAAGCCTTAATACAATAAAACATCTTTCCTCTGGGAAAGAGGAATTCAAATTCCAGGCAGGGAAAATTCCAAATACACCGACAACTGTGCCAAAACGGGGCGTGCACGGAATGTTGGAATTCTGCACTGTGGGCTGGGAGGGATCTCAAGGATTTGGAGGATCCAGAGGGAGATCAAGGGGAAGAGTGTGAGGACAAGGCTGGGGTGGGAGATGGATCCTCCAGCAGGGACTGGTGGCACTGCCAGCCTGGAAAACAGACAGGGACAGAGCCCAGAGAGGAGAATCTGGAATGAGGAGCTGAGGGGCACCAAGGGGGAATGGCCAGGGCTGAGCAGAGTCCTCTGGGAATGACTGGGACTGTCACACCTCGGTGGGAAAAGCAGGAGAAATGTGATTCCCAAAGAATCCACAGGGTCTGAGCTCCCTTTGAGGGAAAAATGCCTCCACCCTGAGCCTCCCCTGGCCCAGCCTGGGGCGGTTCCCTCTCCTCCTGGAGCAGATCCCAAATCCCCCCGGCTGTCCCCTCCTGCCAGGGACTTGTGCAGAGCCAGAAATTCCCCCTGAGCCTCCTTTGCTCCAGGCTGAGCTTTCCCAGCTCCCTCAGGGATTCTCCAGCCTCTTCCCAGCCCTGTTCCCCTGGGCTCGCTCCAGCCCCTCTGGCTTAGGTTTGAGGGTGCCCCAAAGTGGCCCCAGGGCCGGAGGTGCCCCAGCCCAGGGGACAAGCCCTGCCCTGGGCACTGCCCACGAGCTTTGGTTCAAAGCAGGTGCCCGTGGCCACCAGGGCAAGAAGTGCTTTGGGCAGGAGCTGTAAATCAGTTTTGAAGTCCCCAAAACACGAGTGGCAGGTGGGTCCTGCTACAAACAGCACCCAGGGTATTTTTAGGCTGAGCCCTGAGCCCAGGAATCCCAAGGCATCCCTACCTGGAGGATTTTGTCTCCGGGCTGGAGCAGGCTGGAGGCAGGGCCGTCAGGCTGAACCCTAGTAACAAAGATACCCTATAAGTCAGAAGTAACACAGGTTAGGATGCTTTCTCCAAGAACTACATCCCAAAACACACAGGGTTCCCTAACTGGGGGCTCTGGATACCCTGGAGATGGGTGAACACCAAACTGATTTATTCTGTTTGCTACCAGACACCAGTCTGGGGGTGGAGCAGCTCTCTGGGACCTTCAGCACTTATCAATAATTGTGGCTCATTTAAAACTAAAACCCCACATCACAAAGAAAGTCCAGAGTGAACAGGGCATGAGTGACAGGTTATCAGGAGGCTAATTAAAATGGAGCAAGTGTTAATTATTAGAATAATGTGTATCATAATCTCTGGACAGCAATCTTTGCTTCCTCTAGGAAACACAGCTTGAATTTCACCATTCTCCATATTTATGGAAGTTCTCCCTGTCCCTGCAGCATGAATCCAGTATTATCCAAGAACATCAACTCCAGGAATGTGTCCAAGGCCTCCTTTTCCAACAAACTCCAGTCATTTCCAGGGCACCAAACACAAATGCACAGGTGTGAATTCCCAGTCCTACAGCCCTGGGAGCTGGGCCTCACCACATGCTGGAGTTTTCGAGGCCTCCTCCTATTGCAAACAGATTTATCTGGAGTGTGCAGTTCTCAAAATGAATTTGAGTGTCCCTGACCATCACCAGGTGTCAGTTTTAACTCCCAGTTCAGGAGACAACTGCTGCCCTGGGGTCTGGAAGGATCCAGGGGTTTCCAGGCTGGTTTTATTTGACACAGCAGCTACAAACCCTGGAATTTCAGCCTTCAGGAATGATACTGTACTTTAGGGTTCCCTCTAATTAATTTAGTAAAAGTTGGATTGGGGTGTAAGATGACTCTTAAAAAGCAAGAGAGACAATTCTCCAGAAAACAGCCCAAGAAATTATCTTATCCAGGGAATATGGGCCAGACACTCATGGGATTGAGGCTGGATTCCCTCATCTTCTTTAACTGGGGAAAAAAGCAAACAACACTGCTGAAAAAAAAACCAAACCAACAACAAAAAACCAAAGCCAAGTATGGGGATAAAACTCTTTCAATTATGCCAAGAGGGGCACAAACATCCCCCTCATATTCCCTGCCTCCACTCTGGGACCTCTCTAACAGGGAGCAGGGAGAGAGGAATTTCAAACTCACCTTATCAGAAGGTTTGAATGGATTTCCTTGTCCACTTATTCCACCACTGATACTAAACCCAAGGCCAGGATTCTTCTCTATCCTCACACAAAACTAGGTAGGAAAAACAGGGGTGATGTCAGCACGGAATCCTGCCCCAGCCACGGCACCTCCTTCCCTCCCATCCCATTTCCCTGGATGAGCTGAGCCCCTGCACGCCACAAAATGGGAAAAACCTCTGGAATATTGCTGGAAACTGGCAGCATTTCCCCACACTGCAGCGATGCCACAACATTCCCTGTGGCTCACAGATTATTTTTTGCATGGATTTTAATGTTTTCTTTTCAAGGAGGAAAAAACCCTTTAGATTTGTGAAAGAGAAGTTCACCCTGGCCAGGTTTTTCCACTTAAACGTTGGGATAAACCCATTAGGGAGGCTTTGTGTGGTGCAATTTTGTTTTCCCAGGAGGAACCAGGCGTGCAGCACCCCTGGGACGAAGCCAAGGGATAAAACTCTGGGATCTCTGGAGCAGTGCTGGGATCTGACAGCCTGCACTGAGCACCAAACCCTCCCGTAACAGGAATCCGTGCTGAGCCTCCTCTGTCACTCAGGGTGGCTCCAAAGAGCCTTGGGGAGTTGGATATAAAATAAAAATGAGCTCAGAGAGCTTCATGGCCTCCCCCAGCAGGTTCTGAACATCAGGGACGTGGGACAGGAGCTGCTCCCAGGGCTCCAGTGACACTCCCCACAGGAGGAAGGTTTAGGGATGGCTCTGCACCTCATTCTGCTCCTCAGGAGCCTCACACAACCCTGCAGAGTCCTGAAGGACAAATCCAGTGGGGGCAGGAGCAGGGAATGAGGAAACTCCCCAGTGCCTGTGCCAGGCTGGGGCACGGGGGCAGCAGCTGGGCTGAGCTGGGCAGCTCTGAGCAGAGCAGAGTCCCACCAAAGCCCTGCCCTGCTGGCACTGGGCTGGGTCACTGGGGAAAGGGCAGAAGCTGAAAATTAATTCAGGCTGAGCCGGGAATGCCGGCTCTGCTCAGGGACCTCAATTCCAAACGGTGTCACTGGGTCAGTCGGGGAGAAAATGGGTATTGGTGGCTGGTGCTGGGAAAGGGACAGATCCAGCCTGTGCCCAGTCCAGCCAGAGCTCCTCCAGCCCAGCCAGAGCTCCTCCAGCCCAGCCAGAGCTCCTCCAGTCCAACCAGAGCTCCTCCAGCCCAGCCAGAGCTCCTCCAGTCCAACCAGAGCTCTCCCAGTCCAGCCAGAGCTTTCCCAATCCAACCAGAGCTCTCCCAGTCCAGCCAGAGCTCCTCCAGACCAACCAGAGCTTTCCCAATCCAACCAGAGCTCCTCCAGTCCAACCAGAGCCACCCCAGTCCCAGCTCCCCTGGGCTGCCCGGCTCAGCTGTCCCAGTCCTGCCCGAGGTTCCCGTGGACAGGAATGTTGTTGTTCCTGTGGCTCACCTGCTCCTGGTAGGCGTCCGTGCTGCGCTGGCCCTTGGTCTGGATGAGGCACCGCTGGGGCTGGGGGGCCCGGGAGCTCTGGGATGACGGGATCTGGATGGGCAGGGGCGGCTGGTACTGCTGGATGGTGACCTTGTTCATGCTGCCCTCGTACTGCTGCTCCCGGCTCCGGTGCTGCAGGCTCTGCGATCCCATCAGCGTCTGGATGTGGCTACCTGCCTGTGGGCACATCCGTCAGGAGCGGCCAGCAAAGCCCCCCTGCCCAGCACAGCCCTCACAGCTGGCAAGAGCAGCGTCCCCACACCGCTCATCCCGATTCCTCAGAGGACAAACAGCTCGGCTGTCAGGGCCAACTCCATCCCACACCATCAGCCTCCCCTGCTGCTGTGCCTGGAGGCATCTCTGGCACCGACGGCTTTTGTTTCACTTCCCCTGGCCCAGGGATCTCGGGGAGCCGAGGGCTGCTCCTTCTGCAGCGGCCCTGGATAAAAGCTTGGAGCAGGGGGGAGCTCCGTGGGATCCCCACACACAGCAGGAACCGCTGTGCCCTCCTGGCACTCCAGGCATGGATCTCCCGACAGCGATCCCTGGGATTATCCCGGCTCATCCCTGCAGCTCCAACACAGGGCGTGAGTGAGGATTCTCCACTCTCCAGCTTTGTGGTCAGAGCAGCCCAGCCCAGCCCAGCCCAGCCCAGCTCAGCCCAGCCCAGC